TTAGCATCTGGTGCTAGCTAGCTGCGCTAACGGATACAAGGAGCTGTTTAAATGAAAACATTTCGCCACAACTGCGCCGAGCACTTGACTTTATGCAGGAAGCCAGACAGTGGGACATTGTACGAAAAGTCAGCACACTCAGCACGGATAGTGCGCAACATGATTGCAGCGTCCAGGCAGCTCCCGTTCGAGCATATGCCTTGAGTTGCACATAGCTCCAACGATCCATCACACTCTCACACACACACACACCATTTGTATTGTATTATTGTATGAGAGAGGTTCCAGGTTGAATTGAGGCGAATATTTGTAATGTTCAGAGGTTGTTGTGTTTAATATTCATGAGAATATTTGTCATTGTTCAAATGATAATAAACATTAGCATAAAGCATATTTGTCCACTCATATGTTGATAAGAGTATTAAAAACTTGAAAAATATTCCTCTAAGGTACATTTAGAACAGATAAAAAATGTGCGATTAATTTGCGATTAATCGCGATTAACTATGGACAATCATGCGATTAATCGCGATTAAATATTTTAATCGACTGACAGCCCTAATATATATATATTATATTATTATCGGTATCGGTATCGGTCTTGAGAAGCGGGAAGTTATCGGTATCGGTTTCAAAAAACCAATATCGTGCATCCCTTGTGATCATATTCTAAAGATTTTTGGATTATTGAAAAGTATACAGTTCCCTTTCATATGAGTGTTGAGAGCTGTATCCATAAATTCATTTTGTCCTCAAAGTGCACTTAACTTCAACATTTAAAAAAAATCATAATATCAAATCGCACACATTTTTCTTTTAGTAAACACTGAAAACGGGTTCCACAGACCCAAACAGCACACAAAGGTAAAAGGTAAGCATATAATAATGTGTAATGAAACAAATACCAATAACTGTTTTGCATTGTTTTCTTATGCGCAATTACTTCATACTGTCTTTTTCGTCCTGCATTTATTGTGCCCCCCTCAGAAAATAACTGGCCCCAGCCTGCCCCCCCCCCAGTCAAATTGGTCTAGAACCGCCACTGCATAAGACTACAAGAAAAGTCAACAGCCCACAGTATGAGCCCGATTCAAAGATTGATCCCAAATCATGTAGTAGGTTCAGATGTATGTTTTAAATTACACTTTCAATCAGGGCTGCCAACACTCACGTATTGAGCGTGAGAGTCACGCAATTAACCCATATTTCACGCACTCACGCCACACTTGCCTTTCCTCACTCAAGTTTTCGTCCAAAATAAATGTATATAAAAATAAAGTGAAGGGACAGCAAACCGAGCGGTCTACGAAATGAGACGGTCTTCTGGCTTGGTTCAGTAAAGTTGGAACGATATTGGGAGATTCTGATTTCACGGATCAATAACTCATGAACAAAACGTTATTCAGACAGAACTGTAAACAGATTTTCGATTTCTTTATAGATATTTTACAAATCACTCCCCTTTTAAAACAAACCGTTTGAGAACCCACTGAGATAACTAGACTAAAGTTAACTATCTAAACACTGAGAGTCCTTTACTTCACCTGAGCTGAGGTTATCTGAGACTCTCAGTCTGACAGGAGATAGTTCTCCCTCCACCTTGTTGTTGAAAAAAATTCCTTATATCCGTTAGCTTGGCTAGCTAGCACCAGATGCTAACCACAACGATCTCCAGTAGATACCCACCGGTGCGCGAGCTCTCTCTCTCGCTCGCTCGCGCACACACACAAAATGGCTCGTGCCACACACACACAGAGCAGAGCTTGAATTAAACACAGAGACCCAGAAGTAAGCTACTTGTACTCACGAGGCTATGCTATTATGTGCAGAATCCAGTGACGTGCGGTGAGGTTCATGGCTGGTGAGGCACTGACTCTTTCAGAGTCAGATTTACAAATATTATATTTTGACCTTAATCGAAATGTTCGGTTATTTTCAAAAGCTTTTTTAGTCTGATGCTTCGATTCATTTTAAACAGACTGTTCAACAAAAGGATACCCAAAATCTAAATATTGGATTGTTCTTTCTTAGTAAGATCCCATGTTCATTACAATTGTGGTCTTACCTTGACTTGAAGATGAAGTCCATGCTATCCTTCTGGACAACAATCTCCATTACATTTTTGTAAAAGTCCTCCTTATCTTCCTCTAGTTTCAAAAGTCTAGCTTGTTGTTTGCGTCTGCGTAGAATAACAGTAGCAACAAGAACCTGTGGGCTCACGTGCGCCCCCTTCAGTGCGGCAGAGGTTATGGCTGCCTCTCCTGGTGCTTTTTTCATTGCCGTTGTATGATGAGACCAGCGGGCCTAAATATCATATACGTGAAATAAGTTATTTAGAGACTATGGATGGCGAGGATAAATGTAATAAAGGGATCTACAAACATTACATTGGTGACATACAGTGAGATGGTGCAGGCATGCGCTTAGGGTCCGCTTTCCAGCCAGTTTCTGTGGGGTGACGCATTCTGAGGTGAGGCAGAGCATCTGTGCCTCACCTCACCCCACAGTAACTGGCTTGAGCGCTCTCACAAAATAAGTGCCTGCGTTAAATTAGTGCCCGCGCTCCAGCCTGGCTCTAGCCAGTTACTGTGGGCTTACGTGAGGCAGAGCTCTCACCCCTCATCGCTCCCATGTAGTTGTAGCGGAGCTCGGCCAATTTGCTGATTTTGACTATAAAAAGCGATTGGAATCATACAGAAATCACACTTACAACACATATCAGTGGAGACATTTTATTATTATTATTACTATTTAGTTTTTCTTTAGTTGTTTTTCCGTTACATTGGAGTATGACAGGTGAGGCTCTGCCTCCCCTGACTGCACGTCGCTGGCAGAATCCCTCTCGCTTTCAGGTGGTTTTGATTGAGTGTCCACACGTGGACGTTTAAGGACTAAAAAATTATAAATGTTTCACTTTGCTGTTAGCAAATCATTTGGCACTCTAGCTAACTCACTCAAGTGTCACAAAGTAATTTAGCCTATGGGTAGGTCAAAAATCGAATGGGTGCTGGCCATTGGCCTAATCATATCACCTGTGTTGGCTTTATGTTTTTGGTCAAAAATGTGTTTCTTTCACATTTGCATTGATGTAATCAATAATTTTTCTAATTTAATTTAATAAAAATAATAATAATAATTTTCGAAAAGAAAAAAAATAAACATATTTCTTGGGGGTGCTTAGGGGGTGCTTTGGCAATTCTGGGGGGTGCTTCAGCACCCCCCCTAGCTCCCCCCTGAGAGATCCATACATTCATTTTGCTCTCAAAGTGCACCAGGTTGATGCATTTAATTTCAATATTTAAAAAAAAAATAGCACTTTACCTCTGCTTACACCTATATGCCATTTTATATGCTGTGAGCTGATTATCGAGCCTTCATTGTAGGAGTCGCGGGTACACTGTGTGTGCGTGTTCCACTGTAGCCCGGTACATTAATGGGAAACCCTAGTTTGTACATGTTCAATACATTTGTAACACTACACATGAACGTTTATTTTTTCGGTTAACCAACAAGAAAATCTCACTCCAAGCTGAACTCAAATGTTGACATATGTCTCCATAGTGTTTGTTTAAAGCAGAAATGTATGTTAAAATAACACTGAATTATCATGCAGACACGTTCGCTGCCTGTAATTAACATATAACGTTATATAACTAGCTTTCCAAATGAATAAAGATGACACGTTTAAAAGAGGTCTGCACCTTTAAAAAAGCTAGCTAACACTGCTGCTAACGTAAATTACTCTTAGTTCCTAACTAATTAGCATGACCCCTGCTAGCAGGCCATGGAAAATAAGTGACATTATCTTCTCAAGTGAAGAACAAACAACTAATTATACTACTTACTTAATGGTCGCAAACTTAAGCGAAGACAGTAACACGTGGGACATGTATTGGCTAATGCTAACTGAAACACTTTGTTTGCACAGACTCACACCTGAATGACAAAAGTGCAGGTGGGACGTACCATTCTGAAGAGAACGAGGTGTTAAGGCTAGCACACTGGGGAAAAAGAGGTTGAAAATGAATGATATAAAAGTAACTGAAAAAATAACCTCAACGTAACGATACATGGTGATGGAGATTCAGCAATTTTCTAAACGAAAAGTGTTTTCTTTCACAAGCACCGGGTAGTTTCAAATAAGAAACAAGTTGGAAAAGAGGGGGCACCCGGATTTGAACCGGGGACCTCTTGATCTGCAGTCAAATGCTCTACCACTGAGCTATACCCCCGATGATAATTGTATGGAAAAAACAGAATATTTAAAGATTCAAGATTACACGTTAGGTTGAAGGTGTATGATGGTTCTTTGTATATCACCACACTTAAAGAGCCATGTAGAAAGATAACCTCTATGGTTTTTAGTCATAACGTGATCTAAAATGTAAGTTCACAGTGTAAACAATATAGTGGTTGTAGTGTCTCACATTCTCCAGCAGAGGACGCCAAAACATGCTTACCCAAGTCACTAAGGCCTCTCTTGTGTTTTATTTCATTCACAGTTTGTAATGAGTTTCTGTTTTAAGATTGAAAACATAAGGTCCCGATATGTACGTATTCATAGCAGTCGTTCTTACTGTAATGTAGTTGTAATACTTTTCTCTGTTTGGGTACTATCGTTTGCTCCTTTTAAGGTTTTTTCGGATTCTCCTTATTGCATTTGAAGCTGCCTTCAGGTACTATGCAAAAACCCGTTATCCACAACTTTTAACTGTGATATAAACATTCAAATCAATAATGAAGAGTGGAGGGTACTAACATGTAATCAGTAAATATAATCCATTACATGTCAAAGTCTCGCAGTGAAACAGTAGATGTATGTGAGCATAATCAGATACTTAAAATATCAAAACGAAAAGTATTTTAATCTAGTGGATTGTCTCCTATGCGTTGTGTTGGTACTTCTTCCACAACAAGTGAAACTTCTTTTATCCGATGGTAAGTGAAGGCACCATGCAGTCTCAGTGCTTCACGTTTGACTCCTCCTCGCCTTGAGGTCGCATCGGTATATTAATTGAAATGCCTGCATGCGAAGAAGAGGACGGTTCGTGTCCCGGTTGCTCATCATAGCCTGTACTTTACTTCTGAACACTTATTTTATTACTTACTTTTTCAATTAGTATTTTTGTTTGTTTTTTGGTGTTAAGAATCCCTGCGCCATCATGAATCCGCCCTGTGGAAGATGCAATAAACCAGTTTACCCAACAGAAAAAATTAATTGCCTTGATAAGGTAAGGTGATACAAATCTAAATCAAATTCACTTACCAGATATCCCTTTTATATTACAAATTCACTAATATACGTCGAGATTATAAATCTGCAATATTGTCTGATAATAAGTTTACTATAAGTTATGTAGCAGGCAGGCAGTGATGGAAGAACGAATCTACTCAAATATTGAACTTTGAGTGATTGATTCTGGTTATTGCATTTAGATATCACGTTAATGTTGACGCTGTTAAATATGGGCTTTTTTAACAAGGAATTTCCCAGTGAATCAGTTTTATCTTTATCTTTAACAATACATAATCATTTATTTGTAGATAACATGTACTATTCATCTGAACATGTCAGATTGACTATTAGATAAAGCTGTCAGTAAATGTAGTGAGGTAAGACTCTATATTTGCCTCTGAAAAATAATGAAAACAGTAGCAGAAAATTGATACTCAAGTACATTAAACTACTTAAAATATGACTTAGGCAAGTGTACTATTGTTTTAGCATTGAAGAGCTAGCAGATATAATACAACACATGTCATTTAAACTAAAATATGTTGCACTTAATGCCATAGTATCCTCTTTTATAAGTTACCACTTTATGATTGTCTGTTTATGTGGCTGACAACACATGCACAATGACATATAGATAAACACTAATACTCAATATACATTTTTTTTTATGACAAAGACACACAAAATGGAGCGAGAGGCGGAAAACCACATCCGCTTGACCAACATTGGCCAAAAACTTCTAAAGGCTATTTAAAGAAAGAGAAAACAAGATAGTGTGTGTGTGTGGTGTGTGTGTGTGTGTGTGTGGTGTGTGTGTGTGGTGTGTGTTTGTGTGTGTGTGTGTGGTGGTGTGTGTGTGTGTGTGTGTGTGTGTGTGTGTGTGTGTGTGTGTGTGTGTGTGTGTGTGTGTGGTGTGGTGTGTGTGTGTGTGTGTGTGTGTGTGTGTGTGTGTGTGTGTGTGTGTGTGTGTGTGTGTGCTGTGTGTGTGTGTGTGTGTGTGTGTGTGTGTGTGTGTGTGTGTGTGTGTGTGTGTGTCATTGTGGCTGTTAGCTTATATGATAACCTCACTAGATAAAGAAACTCAGATCAATGTAACAGTCTGGGTTGATTTAATTGATTTAAAGACACAATGATGTATGTGCCTTCATTGAATGTAACTTGCATTAAAGCAGTTCTTACATCTCAACAAAAGATGTTATTGTATTATTGGCATTAAGTACATCATGTGAACAGGTTACTAATGGAGTTGGAGAACTCTCATCCATACCTTAATCTGGAAATTGACAGGGCCTATAGTTGCTAAAAGATAGTTTGAATATTCAAAGTGCAATTGTATGAGGTATTAATCCAGCAACCCTCCAATTTAGACAACAGACAGAAGAACCTGCAGTTAGGCAATGTATAGACAGGGCAGTGGCAAAATGTATTTAAGCACCCAAATTATTATTATTATTATTATCAGTTTAAGTGGACCCTATATTTAGAATATTTTCAGCCCAATCTGACAGGGAAGTGAAAGCGTTATCTATGCTCTCTTAAGCAACCAGACTCCATTGACTGAAACATTGGTTTTAGACCACAGGACACAGGTGTTTTTGGTATAATAACACTGACTAACCAATTCAGGCAATGGGAGACCAGACACGCCCATGTTCTTCGAAGTCAAATTAACCTTTTTGTGAATTGAGTCTGGTTGCTTTGAAGAGAGCACAGATAGAACACAAGTCTTAAATCTTATCTAATGTTACTCATTGAACCCTAATTAAAAGAATTAAACTTATTATTTGAATATCATCTAAAAACAATAACCATTCTTATCTTGTCTTTTCTCACAGTAACATCTCTTATTATTTGCACTTGTTTAGCAAAGAAGAGAATCAGCTGTGCTCTCATGTAGAGCAGTAAAGGAATGTTCCCACTCTGTCAGTGAACGTTACATTAATGTCCTCCTTTTTTCTTTCTTTTTTCCTGACTTAAAGTGCTTGCATTTGAACAATCAGCAAGACTTTTAAATATTTTACACTTTGTCTCTGACTCTTCGCTCTCTTTTTCTCCATCAAGTATTGGCACAAAGGTTGTTTCAGCTGCGAGGTCTGCAAGATGGCCCTGAGCATGACGACCTACAAAGGCTTTGAGAAGAAACCTTACTGCAGTATGTGAGTGTTAACACCACACTGATTATCCTGCTTAAAACAGTTCAGAAAACCCAGAACATCTCATTATGGAACAAGCTGTAATAATCTGCACTGAACACGAATTCCACCAGCCTGGCTGTGTGCTCATTAAAAATTCTAATCATTAAAGTTTCTAATCTGAAATTCTGTATCGGGGCACTTACAAATTATATTTTTCAGGAAAGATTGCATTACAGTTGTCTTTTTTGGATTCATTTTGGTTGTTTAGTTCTGAATATAAATTCTAAAATGTTTTACTCTTTCGTTATTTCAGGCATTACCCCAAAACCTCCTTCACCATTGTGGCCGACACTCCAGAGAATCTGCGTCTCAAGCAACAGAGCATGCTCAACAGCCAGGTGAGACACCCGTGGATCAATGTCTGTCTCTGCGTTCTTTCTAAAATACCCTTCCTAATCTAGTTGCAGTCATCCTGACTCGGAATGTCTTTCCCTCTCTATCCGTCTCCTCCAATCAGCTCTCTGTCCGTCTCACAGCAGGAGACGAGGACGCACCTCTCAGCACAAATGGATTCCTTTAATTGAATCAAATGAGCCCTTTGACTGAAATGCTTGATTTCAATGTAAAAGTCTGGGATTTAACCTGAACAAAAATCTGAGCTTTGTATATTGTTTTTTCTTAAGGTCCCCTATTATACTGTTTTTCATCGATATATTATAGGTCTCAGATATATACAAAACATGTCTCTTAAGTGGTTGGCTCGAAATACCAAACAGATCATGCATTGCAGCATCCCATGATCCCCTCTGTTTCAGCCCTGTTTCCAAAGTGCTGATTGTCTGTCTGTTACTTTAGATGAAAAATAAGGAGCCCCTCCCCACGCCCCTCTGAGAGATATTTGGTTAAAAAGAACACAATGGTGCTCTAGGAGGAGATTCGGGTGATAAGGTGGGGGGGGGGGGTTACCTTGGTTGGTGATTGGCTAATGGTTACACAAGCCAAAAAATCGTTGTGACATCATAAAGTGGCCAAAATCTGATCAGCTCATTTTCAGACAGGTTTTTATATAAATGGATCAGAACAAAAAGTGAGCGAATATTTGTATCTGAAACTTTCAGAATCTCTTTACACAGAGGGGACACATGTTGATGTATGAAAGACATGAAAAAGTGGATTTTGCATAATAGGAGACATTTAAGTGATCAGAAACATCGACTGTAGCATATTTAAAAAATCACTTCCATCTCTTTTTCCTTTTGGTCTCTCTTGTGGCCTTGGCTCAACTTGGCCTTCATCGCACTTAATCTTTAATCTGATCACACTGTCCAAGCCAGCATTAAGCCCTGCAAGTCACACAAAATTAAAGAGATTCCTTTACAGTTTGGATCTTACTTTAGGGATTGTGTTGTTACTTCACAGTTTAAATTCAAAACTTTTCTTCCCCTGCAAGCGTTTTCCATGAATTGAATTTATCAGTTCGTACTATCAATGTGGAATATTTACAAGGAGGTTATGTTTTCAGAATGGTTTGTTGCTTTGCCTGTCAGCAGGATTTCTGAAAATAACCGACCGATTTAGACGAAACTTGGTGGAAGGATGACGCACGGGCCGAGGAGGAACCAAAACACTCAAACATCTTCACTCTTTGAATGCCCTTCTGGTTTTGCTTTGTTAAACTAAAATCTGATTGCTTAATAAGTACAGCCCTTTGTATCTGTTGACATTTCCACAGTAGTCCCATATGTGCCACATGGCGTAGTATTGGTGCCCCTATTTTTTTACTTCTAAAGATACTTCTAGAGATCTCACTCATTTGTTTAAACTAGGTTAATCTACTCTAGCATCTTGCTGAGAGACTTAATGGACTGCTATGACCTGCAAGGCGAGGGTTAAACCAATCCATCAAAGTACCCAGCCAATAGATTGTATTGTTTCTCTGCATCGCACTTTCTCTTAAAAATCCATCCCAATGTCCTTGTTTTCGTGTCAACGTGAACCAAGAAAACAAACCACACATGTTAAACATTAGCACAAACGTTTGATGGGAGCCACAAACCCCTCTTTGCAGGGAAAACTACAGCTACTTTAGGCTCTTTACTTATGTGAATTTAAAGTATTTAAGGAACCAAATGATTTTTCAGAATATAACAAGTGTCTGAAACAAGCACCTGATGTTACCACACAGATTAGCTCCATGTTTGGTAAAAAAACATTTTAAACTATCATGTAACATATATTATTATTATGCAACAGGATGCTTAGGATAACATTGTGATCACATTCACACCAACAGCGGTTTCCTTCTCTCTCTCTCTCTCTCTCTCTCTCTTTATATCTTATGCCTCTATCGTCTCTCTCTCTCTCTCTCTCTCTCTCTCTCATCTATCTCTCCTCTCTCTCTCTCTCTCTCTCCTCTCTCTCTCTCTCTCTCTCTCCTCACTTTCTGCTCCTCTCGCCTCATTCTCATCCAACCCAGCTCATTGTTTATAACCCTAAAAGTTCTCGGCAGTTAAGCTCTCTTTCTAAGACAGCATATTCCTCATAGCAAGAACATGACCTCACCAACTATGTGTGTATGTGTTTTTGGTCTCAGATTACTTTAAAGTAAACATTTTGGATTTGTTTTAAGTTGCAAGTGTTTCCCCGGCCGCCTAACGTACAACGAAATGTTACAAATAGCCCTAAGTGTGTGTTTTATGTTTATTTGTGAATCACATGTAGCATAATTATGCGTGCTACCACAGGATATCTAATCCATTTTCTGTTATTTTCAAAAGCAACCCTCTTTGGGCTGAGAAGCGAACCTCAGGGGAATCATTTCAAAGACTGATGCATAACAAATTTGCAGGCGCTCTATAAGGAGGACTTTGAAAAGAACAAGGGCAAAGGTTTCAGCGTGGTAGCCGACACTCCGGAGATGCAGAGAGTGAAGAAGACTCAAGACCAGATCAGTCACGTACGTCCGGTTCGCCTCAAGAACTGAAGAGCATCAAATAATATAATAACACTAAATCTTCGCAATAAGTCCGTCGTAGTTTTAGATGTAACGTCCTTTCAACCACTAACTATGTTTGTCTGCATGAACTTCAAATAAATGTCCCTTTTTAGTGATTGTTTAATACATTTTTTATCCAATGCTGCATTCAGGTTATATTGCATTTATCATTGCTGACAAAATAAATATCAGCAACAAGTGCAGTTGTTTCTAATCCGCATGTAAGACCTGCACACACTAACATGCACCCTGTGAGAAGTAGGCTTCAAGTTCAGTACACTTTAACACAAATTAAGGGGTCATAGGCAAAAAGTCAGTGAGTGTTACATACAGTTCCACCAATATAATTGTATGAGCATTGAAGAAACAGCGAGATGTCTTTCAACTTGTACCAATACACCATGAATGCAGCTCAAAACTCCATGTGGACAAAAATATGCATGAATTGAAAATATAACAGATATAATGAAACATTTCACTCCAAATAAGTAGTTTGTGACTTTCGCTGTCTTGCCAAGTGTGAGACGAGAAGATTGATACCACTCTCGTGTTGGTTGGTTAAATATGAAGCCAATTCCCAGCAGACTGGTAGCTTAGCTTAGAAACAGGGTGAAAACAGATAGCCTGGCTCTGACCAAAGGTAAAATATGGGGTTTATGTAATTAATTAAGTTACTGGGGATTATGTGTCAAGACTATTTATTGGCCGTGACTTCGGAAGACTACGGATTAAACAAACAAGATCTAATGTGTTTGTGAGCGAGTTTAAGAAGTGCTGATAGGCAGATGTTATTACCTGTGGACAGTGCCTGGCTATTTAGAGTCTTTATGCTAAGCTAAGCTAACAAGCTTCTGGTTGTAGCTTCATATTTCCAATAAGGACAAGAGAAGTATAAATCTTCACCTCTAACTCCCAGCAAGAAAGCAAATAGGATTATTCCTCTTCTAAAATAAGATTGATTTTACTGTACATTTCAGGCTCTTTACAAGGAGGACTTTGAAAAGAACAAGGGGAAAGGTTTCAGCGTGGTGGTCGACACTCCGGAGATGCAGAGACTGAAGAAGACGCAAGATCAGATCAGTAACGTAAGAAAGTACTGTTGGGCAGCCATTTTGTTTGACATTATGACTATACAGTTTCCTGTTTGAGAGATGGCCTAAATAACCACTGGAGAATGACGTATCCAGCCCAAGGACGTCATTTCAAGTCCACTTTGAAGCTGAGGTAGTGGTTGCTATAGGGAAACTTAACATTTGCATGAGCACTGAAGAAATAAGCCAATTTAAGAGGCAAACTGGGGAAATTGCAGATGTTTGATGATTCAGAGGTCTGGAACCTTTTCTTTGGTAGAGAATAGGGAAATCTGTGGGAAACAATTATGTTGATTATCTGAAGTAACTAGGACATTGTGTATAGAAAAGGCAAACTTAATTTCATTTTTGTTTTTGTAATTTGGGTAATCTACTTTTGATGGTTATTCCTTTTCACTCAAAGATATATCATTATAATAATTTAATGAAGAAACTAATCTATTTATAGGTAGGGTTTTATACCTTAAGAGACAAAAAAAACAAGGATGGTCAGATGCAAGAAACAAGTTGAGCAATTTCCCATAAGACACAACAGGAAAACATCCTGGTCCAATAACAAGATAGTAGATAGGAGATTTGTGGACTGGTACTTAAAACCACTTTGATACACTGGCAGAGAATAACAAACTGCAGCAGGCAGCAGTGAGGGATCCTGCAGAGACACATTTCAGGCATTTCTCCTCGGCCACTGAGGAGCAGCTGCCCTATATGGTCAAAGTCTCTCAGCTGTGAACACACGCTCACGCACACACACACACACACACACACACATATACACACATATACACACACTCATGCATACCACACTTAAACCAACACACACACTTTCTCTTTTTTGTCTCATGAGAGTTGTGGTTGCAGAAAGGAATGAAGGGAGATAAGCTGCATGTGAAAAAGACAAAATCGAGTAACTTATTTTTCCACTGGGAGCTTCCTTCTTTCCTCACTCTTTTTCCTCTGTTTCCTCCCAAACTCCCTCTTTTCTTCCTAATTTCCATTTTCTTTCCTTCCTTCCTTCCTCTGTTCATTCCTTCTCTCATTCTTACCTTTCCTCCTCCTTTCTGTCTTTCCTTTTTTAGTTTTCCGTCATTATGTCCTTTTATCTCCTGTTCTTTCTTTTAATCGTCCCCCCTCTTTTTTCAAGTCTCTCACTCTCCTCCAGTCTTTTCCCATCAGATCTATGTCTGTTTCTCTTCCTGAGGTCTATTGAGGACACACAGTAAGTGTCCTCTTCCAGCCTCTAAAAGCTGGAACTGCATTTGATTAATTTCATAGAGGATGTGGGATTATCCCTATCTCTCTGTCCCCTGGTGGACTCACTGGAAGTTGCATTAAGCGTCTCAACACTAGAGTTTCTCTTCAGTGAGATGTGGAACATTATAATGGAGTCACAACCCTTTCTATTTATTTTCATCTTTGAATACTCACTTTTGTGTAATTTAAAATGGTGATCTCACATATCCAAAGTTTCTTCTGCTATAATTCCATAAGAAGACAAAGCCCGCATTAAGCAGCAAATAGAAAATGTTAGTAGAAGCTCAGAAAATTAAAATTAGCCAATAGTTCTTGACAACATTCTTCTCTAATCAATCACTCTGCATATAGGTAGTTGTTAATAAGCTAACTTAATTTGTATATGAATGTTCAAAAGTAGATATGTAAGGCTGGAGATATGTAACATAGGTTTTTGAGTTTCACATTTCTTGTTTTGTTTTTTAAGTGCTTTAAAATGAGAATATAAAATGCACCAAATCTAAAAACATAAAACACACAGGCTTAAAGGTTTCTCAAAACGGTTGCCTCTGCAGCAGAGATAAACCCCTCTTCCTCTCTCAGCACCTCCTAACATGGTGAGCTCCCTCTCACAGCGACGTTGGGTCAGCAGTCAGATTGATGTGGCTTTAACATGTGTGTTGCTTCCTGTGTGTGCAGATAAAGTACCATGAAGACTTTGAGAAGAGCAGGATTCGAAGTGACGCACCTCCTCCTGAGAATAGACAAGGTAGGAAACATCCTTACACCTTCTGACACACTTATTCAAATCACCAAATATAATCATATATTTTTGTATTCACTTTGTGTGTGTAGACTATGAGGAACAACCCAGCAACCCTGAGAGATTCAGTCAGCCGCCAGTCGGACAAACGTGTCCTGCTGCGGTAGCACCACCTAGTGGAGGGGTAAGGCTAATACATAAACATACACTCAAAAGCCAAAAGTATAATGGACACCTGACATTTATTATGTAACTGTTGAACATACAATTGCAAATCAATGGATCTTAATGTGCTGTGGGAGCATCAGAGATCCAACACTGATGTCTGGGGATCAGTTTTGGCTCACAGACTGTATTCCTGTTCATATTTAAAGTGTTGGATATGGTTGAGGTCAGGGCTCTCTTCTTCCACACCAAACTGGATACAATTATTTTGATGGAACTGGCTTTGTGCACGGTGGTCATTACAAGTAACTATTGCTAGCCTTGATCTACAAAATGTCACTTAAGAGACATGAAAAACCATTTAGTCAAAATAACCACAAAGAAACTGAAAAAATACTTCAGAGACACTGAAAACTACGAGGAGATGCAAAAAAGCTGCAAAGAAACCCACAACAAAGACATTCAAAATAGCTCTAGACTCAAAACAACTAGAAAGAGATGCAAAACAGATATAAAGAGACCCACAACTTTGAGTGTCAGCAACCTGCCAGTGTAGTTGTGTTGATAATTTTTGTATTACAGTATACAAGTGTGTGTTTAGGACGATTCATTGCAAATCACCCTGTTTGGAGTCTTTATGTCATATGTCAGTGCAGCTGTGTTTGATCCCTCTCCACAGAAACGTTACCAGGCTGTGTACAGCTACACAGCAGCAGATGCAGATGAAGTTTCTCTGCAGGAAGGCGATCTGATCTTAAACGTGGAGCAGATAGACGAAGGGTGGATGTTCGGGTGCAACCAGCGCACGGGGCAGCGCGGCATGCTTCCTGCTAACTACGTCCGACCCGTGTAAAGCTACCAGACACCCCTTCAGCATGAGATGCCCCTTGTTTCTGCTGTGACCATCAACTATCAGGCCTAAACTCAAAATCAACTCGTAGAAATGAAAAAAAAGAATCAATCTCAACTCTCCTTTTTTCAATTGGAGGTTAAAAAGTGATGGTAGTGTCCGATGGGTTCTCAAAAAATTTGATTAGTTGGAATGACATTTCCCTTTAGGGAAAACGGTGATAGTAAAGTTTGATGTATCTGTAACTGAAACTCACGGAAGAGTAAGGGGGAAAATATTCACAAATGAAAAGAAACATTGGTAAATAAAGCTAACGATAAAACAAAAAAAAAAGCATTTTCTTCTTAGGAAACATTTACCTTTTTATGTATGTGTCCTTCAGCTTTAAAGTTTAAATGCATTCAAAGTGTCAAGTCATGAAATGTTCTGCATTTGAATAACTCATTCCATTATCTTCTAAAACACATTTAGAGAAAGAATATCGTCATCATTTAGGCCGATTTGTATTGAAAGTTAAATACATAATTTGCAATCCTTTTTTAAAGAATAAAGAATAGTTTTGCGGCATTATTTTGTTATACTGCACACATCGTAGGTCTACTACATTGTTTGGTGGGACTGTGGAAGTACTCAGTGTGGGAACATTGTTAGGATTAGAGTACTTCATTCACAATTTTACATAAGTTCAAATACTAAGGTGAAGTCCTAAAGTAGATTACTTTCTTTTTACTCTTAACCACTGACAGTGAAAACCACAATAATATATAAAGTCCTTTATTCAAAAACAGATTGAACATTATTAAACACTGTAATAGAGTAAAATGATACCAAATCTTAACTGGTTGTTTAAAAATAAGGCAAAAAAACAAACGATGCGTCTTAAGTTAAAAACAATAGCACTTTTTTTGGTTAAATCATTAAACACAAATATTCCCAACACACAAAGAAGAACATTTCTGTTTTAGTAATTGACAGTTCAATTTTTTTTTAAACGACGTCTTCAAGCTGTTTGAACGGGTTTCGTAGAGGAGAAAAAGGCGACTCGCTTGTCAATTTTGTTCTGTAGCTTTGATGGCAGCCAGGTCAGCTGCTCCTCAAAAACCTCAGAGTTTTCTGCTATTAGGTCCTCACACAATCTACAGAGGAAAGACAAACAGACCGTTTAGATTCTGAAAAGACTTTTGTCTCGTTAGATAACAAATAACTGTAGCTCTGCTCCGGCAAGAACTGATGTGTTTTACTTTTAACATTTGCTTCTTTATGGGTGCAGGGGGAGATGCTGCAAGCTCACCTGCAGGAATACAGGCGCTAGTGTGGGAAAGTCACCACAGACACCCGATACCACAATATAGGCACATGAACTCATTTGGCAAGGTCTAAATGTGACGTTCATTTAAAAATGTAAAAGTTCTGCAATTCAAATGGGCCAAGTTTACCAAAGTGGCCAACTTGTACCCCTGTATGCAATGACAATAGTGTATTCTATCATACAATCACACCAACAGAGGGAGCCAACAACCAACCAACATTGGGGTCACAGTAGCAAAAATGAATCACAATTTAATAAAAAGGATGCTGTTGCCAGAAAGACGCACATAACATCGGTTAAATTAGTTTCTTGTTGGTTTGCAAGCGAAACAGAAAAACCTTCCCGATATTCATGAAACTTGGTAGCAGCATGGCCCAAGGGAGAAGCCATAACATTTGAGCAGATGTGAATCACTTGATTGATACAGGCATCACTGTACACTTGTAAAAGTCCTTGGTGGAGGACATCACTGTGTTTTAGTTTTAGAGGTGGATCTAGGTAGCTGAAGTTTATCTTGTTAGGTTCTAGCTCAACATAAGATATCTTGTATAAACCTCTACCCATGTGTTTTCTTTCTAAAAACACCGTTCTGGTTCGGTAAAGAGAGCATTTTGCTATAGCTCATCATCCACAAAACCTGAAAGTACAAAAGTTATTGCCTTACAGGTTTAACATTTTTACCTAAAAAATTGCAGCAGAACTGCAACGAGAGGAAGTTTTATGTCATAACAACGGAATATCTGTATCTATATTAGTTTTGGACTGACAAAAAAAAAAATACATCATTTTGGATTTACAATAGGGCAATAAACCATGAGGATTCAGAACAAAAAAAACACTTTGTGACATTTCTTGGACCAAACCATTAATCTAAAATGATCGGTAGATTTATCAAAAATAAAATATCAGTTAGACGTTTTTTTTTATATGATCCAAAAATCACATACGTCACTGGCTGGTCAGAATGAGAACTTTCATAATCCTCAAATGCTTTGAAGGTTGAATGAATACAATTCAACTTCACCAACTTATCTCGATTGATTCATTTTAATCCTTCACAATAAACATGGCACAGACTAACCATACATAATAACAATGCTCATTAGCATAACACCGTGTCCTGCACACAGGACATGTAAAATGCATTTATACTCTATAAATAGCTGTGAGTGTTTAAAGGGTCTCTGTGGACTTTGTTAAAACTGCTTAATCATGTGTGAACGGGACGACGTGCAAACACATGCTGCCAATGTACATAACGAGTGGTGGGAACAAGAGGGGCATGTGACTAACCACCAACACATCAGACAGTGAGCAATGATACGAAATATTAACTCAGACATTTTACGTGGAAGGTTGCACAAACCTGAAGAGGGAGCACGGCTGGGTCTGAAACATGAACACGTCTCTGCACTGGTTTTGTGATGGAGCCCTCAGAACAGCCACCTGACATATACAGAGGTTTGACACAACAACAACAGCACATGAGGATGATGACAGATTAATTACTGGAATTATTCTTTCTATTTTAAAATATTTAAAGCCTCTTCAGAGAAATAGTGGAAAAAAGCAGCAGAATATGAATGAAACTAGTTATTGGTGTCTGGTATTTTATTACAGAGTTCTTAATATAGTTCGCTATCTGTGTACTTTTTTAAAAAAAATTGTTTTATTACATTACATTGCATTTAGCTGACGCTTTTATCCAAAGCGACTTACAATAAGTACATTCGACCAGGAAGACACAACCTTGAAGAAAACAGAATCATAGAAGTACATCAGGTTTCATAGAGCCAAACATTTCAAGTGCTACTCAACTGGCTTTAGATAAGCCAGTCCTTTATTAGTATACTAAGTGCTTTGTTATAGTTCTATCGCTCGAAGTGGAGTCGAAAGAGATGAGTTTTCAGTCTGCGCCGGAAGATGTGCAAGCTATCTGCTGTCCTGATGTCAATGGGGAGCTCATTCCACCATCTTGGAGCCAGGATAGCAAACCCACTTGTTTTTGCCGATGGGAACTTGGGTCCCCCTCGCAGCGAGGGCGCAACGAGTCGTTTGGCTGATGCAGAGCGTAGTGCACGCGCTGGGGTGTACGGTTTAACCATGTCCTGGATGTACGAAGGGCCAGATCCATTCGCAGCATGGTAAGCAAGTACCAGTGTCTTGAAGTGGATTCTAGCAGTTACCGGAAGCTAGTGAAGGGAGCGGAGGAGCGGAGTGGTGTGGGAAAATGTAGGAAGGTTGAAGACCAGACGAGCCGCTGCATTCTGGATGAGCTGCAGAGGTCGGATGGCACATGCAGGTAGACCAGCCAGGAGGGAGTTGCAGTAGTCTAGGCGTGAGATGACGAGAGCCTGGACCAGAACCTGCGTCGCTTTCTGTGTCAGCTGGGGACGCATCTTCCTGATGTTGTAAAGCGTGTATCTGCAGCAACGGGTTGTAGCAGCAATGTTTGCAGTGAAGGACAGTTTGTTATCTAGGATCACACCCAGATTCCTTGCAGTCTGAGTCGGGGAAACAACTGAGGTGCCGATGTTAATTGTTAGGTCAAGAGTGGGACAATCTTTTCCCGGGAAGGAAGAGCAGCTCAGTCTTGTCAAGGTTGAGCTTGAGGTGATGAGCAGACATCCACTGAGAGATGTCAGCTAGACAAGCAGAGATGCGTGCGACGACCTGGGTCTCTGAGCGGGGAAAGGACATAATTAAATTGGGTGTCGTCAGCGTAGCAGTGGTAAGAAAAACCATGCGGGCTAATGACTGATCCGAGCGAGTTTGTGTACAGGGAGAAGAGGAGGGGACCAAGAACAGAGCCCTGAGGGACCCCTGTAGTTAATTGACAAGGGTCGGACTCAGACCCTCTCCAAGTCACCCTGTAGGTACGGTCTTTCAGATATGAGGTGAGGAGGGAAAGTGCAGAGCCTGAAACTCCAAGTTTTTGGTGAGTGCGAAGGAGGATCTGATGATTCACCGTGTCGAATGCAGCAGACAGGTCCAATAGGATGATGACAGAGGAGAGGGATGCAGTTTTGGCAGTGTGCAGTTCCTCCGTGACAGCAATGAGAGCAGTTTCTGTGGAGTGACCTGCCTTGAAACCAGACTGGTGCGGATCCAGAAGGTTGTTCTCATGGATGCATTTTATATTTTATGTATGCACCATGACATCAAGTCAAATTCCTCGTACGTGTGAACCTACCTGGCAATAAACCCGCTTCTGATTCTGGTGGTGATGGCAGTAGGCCCACCAGTTTGGCACAAACAAAGAATATGTGTACAACTATAAAATAGATATGCACAAATGTTTGTATGGCTATTGTTGTTCCCAGAGGATTTACATGATCCCTTGACTGTTCTACTAGTGCCATCTTTAAGTCAGATTTTACTTAATCAATACTCTACAAACTCCCATCAGTCTCATTTGTTCCTTTGTATTTTTGCACTAATATGCAAATGATAGCACGCTATCAAACTAAAGTAAACATGTATCTGCTGATCATGCACGTTAGCAGTCTTGTTTTACTGTACCTCTGAATAGTAATAAAACACACATTTCTTTAGGGTTCTCTTTCAGTTGGCTTCATGTGACATTATTACCACGTAGTATTTGTGCAACTTAAACTTTTTTATGCAACACTTCTTAATCACTGAGCTATATGTGGTGTACTTAACAAATGACATAGGTTGGAACATTAGAGGGCTTTTAAAAAAGGCAAATGCTGTTATTTCATTACTGATGAAACTCCTGAGGGGATCTGTGAACTTGAAGCGTTCCGTTAAGATATGCTAACTTCTACCCCAAAAAGGTAGATGCATTTTTTATTGAAAGTGAAACACAAGACATACCGAGTCCATGAGGAGGCACATGTTGCTGCTTCCTCCGAACACGACAACATCGCTGTCCCTCCCCAGGCACGCCGAGTGACACACTCTGGGGAACAGGAGGGTGAATACAGAAAAAAATCACACCGTTTTTTGAAAACACTATGCTACACTTAAAGCTGACATGACAGAAGGAACTACCTGGGCTTGTCCTTGTGTTGGTGCGTCATTTTTTCCCATTCTTTCTTCTGTGTGTTTAACTGCCAGACATCATCTAGCAGAGAGGTTAGTGAAAATGGCCAGAGACCGATGAGTTAAGACCATAATAAAAAATGAAGAAACAAAGTTTTTATAGTTTCAATGCCAGGACCTCTGAACAACTTTCCAATAAGAAATATTTACTTCAAAGTGCCAAACAACCACAAAAGAACTACAACCACAC